AGCACTGTGAAGCTGGTCTTGACTGACTCATGAGGTTTAAGCCAAGAAGCCACCTCCACAATGTAAAAAATGCCAGCGAGCAGCAAGCTCTACAGAACATCTGATAAGACAATGATGTGGGTAACTGCACGAAACAGTGCAGTCTCAGTGTAGACAGAACCACTTTTTACTGGGGAAAGATGCCACCTAGGACCTCCATAGCTGGAGAGGAGAAGCAAGTGCCTGGCTCCAAGTCTTCAAAGGACAGACTGACTTCTTGTTCGGGGCTAATACAGCCGAGATGTTAAGGTGAAGTCACTGCTCGGTTTCCATTTGGACAGCACAGGAGTCTTTAAGGATGATACTAAATCTGCTTTCCTGCTCCCTGTAAATGGTACAAGAAACGCTGAGTGACAGCACATCTGTTACAACATGACTTACTGGATGCTTTAGGGCCACTGTTTTCTGCTCATAAGATTCCTTTTGAAATATTACTGCTCATCAACAATGCACCACGTTACCCCAGAGCACTAATGGAGATACACAGTGAGATTAATGTCGCTTTCATGTCTGCTAATATGACGCCCATTTCATAGTCCATGGTTCAAGGAGTAATTCTGACTCTCAAGTCATTCTATTTAAGAAATATTTTTTGTAAGGCTGTACAAAGTAAATTGGAAACTCTCTGTAAAGAATTCACCATTTGCCTGAAATTCTATCCAGGTCTTCCACATAGATGGCAGGAGCTCAAGAACTCAGGTCACCCTCACCTACCCTCCCAGGTGCATTAGCAGGGAGCTGGATCAGAAGCAGAGCAGCTGGGACTCAAACTGGTGCTCATATGGTATGCTGGCGCTGCAGGCAGCAGCTTAATCCACTGTGCCACAATGCCAGTCCCTGTAATAAAGTGTTTTTAAATTAAGGTACATATATCACTTTGGTTTTTTTAAAGGCATATTGCAATGCACACTTAATAGACTATAGTACAGAATAAACATAACTTTTATATGTCCTGGGACACCAAAAAACTTGTGACGCACCTTATTGGAAACTGACCTTATTAGAATGGTCTGAAATTGAACCTATAGTATCTGTAAGGCATGAGGGGTCTTCAGAAATTTTGTGGAAAATGTGTATTATGAAAAAATTATGTATGGATTTCAAAAAAAATTTTACACCAAAATAAACTGATCGTTTAACTCCATAAACTTTTTGCAGTCCCCTTGTAGCCTGTATTTTCTCACCACGCAGAGGATTATGGGACACTCACGGCCTGGCCCCTCGACAGAACCATTCCTGGTACAGATTTCCTCTTTTGAGCCAATGAAAGGATTTGGTTACATGCACAGTTCCATAAGCTACTCACTGATTTAAAATGTATGACATAGTGACCACGTTTTGGTAATTGTGCAAAAGTTGAGGGATATGAAGAAAAAACCTAGTCCTTGTTCCCCTCAGGGCTCTGATAGGACTGACAAGTAAATGTACCATTGCAATCAAAGTGAAACAGAATCAGTGAAGCTGGGAGCAAGTACTGCAAAAGGCAGAGGAAGGGCTGGAGCAGGGCCCCAGCTGCTGTCTCAGCCACATTTCATCACTGATTATGCAGAGACCTGAAACCCTTCCAATGTGTTGCACGCATGCTGGTTTCATGGAGTTAACTATCAGAGACCTGAAACCCTTCCAATGTGTTTGCATGCATGCGTGTTTCAAGGAGTTAATTATCAGGAGGTTTCTGTCCCAGAACAGGGAGGTGCCTGAACTGCACGTGTTTTCTACGCCCTCTGTAGAACACGGTGGAGTGGCTCTAGACAGATAAATCCAGCATTCATTTACCGGGTGCTGGTCCACTCCTCCTTGCATGCACACAAGTAGAAGGTCTTAGAAAGAAAGCCCCTGAGGGCAGGGGACCAGGTCTGCACCAGGCAGTGGAGCAAGCCAGCTCACTCAGGCCAGCTGCCTCAGGACCTTTGTCTGCCCGAGGTCCTCGCCAATCCTCTGCCACCCTAAGATCTAATTGGAAAGCTTGGTCAGGCAAGCACACCTATCATTCCAGCCTAGTAACTTCTCCAACCGTTCAGGGCTTCCAAGGAGTATACGAAAAGTACTACAGAAAGTCTGTAGAAAACAGAATTAAAAGATGTGTTTATTTTGATGCAAAAAATTTTTTGCAATCCGTGCATAGTTTCTTCATCAAATACATTTTTTTATAAATTTTTTTGAAAACACCTCATATCATACAGGAGGAACCTTTGGTAACTGCCAAGCATGACTGTACTGAAAGAAGCAAAACACATGTGTAAGGCTAGGGAATCGGATTAGCAATCAATGTCTGTGCAGCAAAAACCAGCAGTGAAATCATTGTGCTTTCAATGGTGTCAGACAGCAGCCTGTGTAGAAATCATCTGATCCGCCGGGAAGAGGTTGCTGTAAAATGTGACTGACCATGGCCAGTTTTCTGCCTCCTCTTTTTGAAAACAGGAACCATGTTAGCATTTTTCAAGGCTTCAAGAATGTCACTGCATATTTATCCCCAAACTGACACAAACACCCAACAAATTCCTCCCTGACAATCTGGGTCAATTTGCAAAATATTTAATTTCTCAACATCAAAGACACCTCTTGTGTCACAATCGAACAGTAAGCATATTTTTCTTATCAAATGGCTGTTCCTTTTGACTATGATCTTGTCTAAATAAGATAAGAGTCGGTGAACTCAAAAGGCTTCCATAGCTTTAGAAACTCATGACTGGAGCATAGGGAGATTGCTGATGCCATAAACAGGAGTGTCAATTTGTAAAGTCAACAACAGGAGTCACTGTGCACTTACTACTTATGTAGGATCTCTGTCCTTAATGTGCTGTACATTGAGATTTAATGCTATAACAAGTACTCAAACAGTATTTTTCACTTTGTGTTTCTATGTGGGTGCAAACTGTTGAAATCTTTACTTAATGTATACTAAATGGATCTTCTGTATATAAAGATAATTGAAAATGAATCTTGATAAGAATGGAAGGGGAGAGAGAGTAGGCAAGGGGAGGGTTGCGGGTGGGAGGGAAGTAATTGGGGGGGGGGGAGCCATTGTAATCCATAAGCTGTACTTTGGAAATCTATATTCATTAAATAAAAGTTAAAAAAAAAAATGGCTGTTCCTGGTAGTGCAAAGAACCCCACAGAATTTCAAGCCAGTCAGAGACTCCAAATGGAATTACTCTGCAGAGGCAGCCCAAGTCCTTGGGTCCTATACTACAGATGGTTATTATTTCATTATCTCAGTAATGTAAGCTTCTCTTTCAGCTATCTTCAGCCCCAAGGAGCAAAGAATCACACCCCAGGCAGGGCTGAAGATCTGTTAGGGAAAATGACTCAGGCCAGAGGGGGCAAGAAGAGGGGTTGCACCACTCAGTTTTGCAAACGTATACTTTGTGGGTTTTTGAGCTAGGAGAGAACTGAGAGAGGAAACCAGCCAGCCAGGTTTCCCCTGCATGGACGGAAGGACGGCAAGGGCTGGCCCTGGATGTGCTATTTCAGGTCAGGCAAAGGCAGAACATAAAAACTGTGCCAACTTTTGTTTCTTTTAAGAGGAATGCAACCCTAAGGCCCAGCAGGCTATGTGGATACAGCATGCGGGTAGTTCAAAAAGTTTGTAGAAAATGGAATTCAAAAGAAAATTTTATTTGGGTGCAAGATCCTTTTGGAAATCTGTGCATAGTGCTCCCCAGCCCCCCACCCCTCCACCCCCCGCCCCCGCTTATTTCCATGAAGTGTTTGAAGACCCCTGGTACGCACTAAAAGTGTCAATTCACTTCCCGGGAGGATGAGACAGAAAACCCATCATCTTCTCGCCCTGAAAACTCTGCAGTGAGGTCGCCCACACAACAAATGAATTGGGCGAGGCTTTGCCAGGGCAGCGCGCGGTGCACTGCACAGGTGAGCGCGGACATTCCACGCGTGACCACTTCACAGCAAGCCCACAAGGGGAAGCCAGGGAGTAATTCCGCAAACCTCTGGCTTAGCGCGCGCGGTGGGGAAGTCTGATGACATTTCTGAATTTCCTTTTCGGCCTTTCCGCACTCGGGTGGAACTCATTCAGTCCCACGGATGTCTTCTCCAGTGTGAGAACCATCCTTTCTGGAACCGCAGGGCCGCAGATGTCACGCTGGAATCCTCCCAGGGGCAAAGTGCCAGCTGGGAGACGGCTCCTCCTCGGACCGAGGGATGCCGGGGCCAAGTGACCTTCAGACCCGTGGGCCCTGGGTCGTTCGGGTCCACACGGCCGGCGGGCACCCAGGTCGGCACGACGCGGCTGGCGCCGAGCGCCCTGTAAGGTAGACAAACCAGGTGCCCTAGCCCCTCGGGGTGCAAAAGAAAGCCGCAGACGGGAGGGGCCCTGCTCACAGGCAAGCCGCTGCCGGGCTGTGGCTCCCAACCCTGGCCCGGGAGCAAACGGCCCGGGAAATGCCCCGGAGCGGAGCCCAGCGTCCAGGTGGCGAGCGCCGCGCTCCCGCCGGCCCCGCAGCCCTTTATCCCCCTGTGGAAGGGGCGCCCCTTCCCTGCAACTCACGAGCTCCTTCTTCCCCGTAGGCCTGCCGGCCGCCCAGGCTGAGCGTCGCGGGCCTCCCTGGCCTGGGGGCCCCGGGCACAAGGGGCCTTCGGGGGCCGAGCCTCACAGCACCTGGGCCCGCCTGCAGCCGACAGCAACTTGGCGCGCGGCGGTGCGGTTGAATCAGCGTTGAATCACCCCTTGCAGGGTCTGGGAGTTTCCTACGAGGCAGAGGAGGCGGGGCAGGGGTGTGGACTCGCGCGGGCCGCCCACCGCGACGGTAGTGACCGCCGGGGGGCGGGGAGGCCGGAGCAGGGGCGGAGGCGGGGGCGGCTCGGGGCGGGTCGTGGCTCTCGGCGTCGCGCGCGGCCCTTTAAAGCTCGCCCCGCACGGGCTCCCGCAGAACCGTAGATCCCTGGCTGCCTCTGGTCGCTTGCAGCCCACCCTCCGCAGACTCCCGGGCTCGGCAGAATCCATCCGCACTCCTTGTGGGCCTTTGGACATGGCGCCCCCGACCCGGCTCCAGGTCCCGCGTCCCGGGACCGCTGTTCCTTATACGGTGCTGCTCGGCTGGTTGCTTGCCCAGGTGGCCCGCGCCGCAGGTGAGTGGCCCCCACCGGCGGAAGCCCGGGACGCGCTGCCCGCGGGACGGAGGAGACGGTTCTGGGTGGCCGCGGGCTCGCCCTGGCTCCGGGGGCTCGGCCGCGGGTTTGAATGAACTTGGGCCTCGCGGTGCGCAGGTGGGAGCTGCGCGGGAGGTGGCTGGAGCCCCAGCGCCGCTGCCCCTTCTGCTGGAGCGCGGTTGCTTAAGTCTCCTGTTGACTCCTGCTTTGGGGCTAGAACTTTCCACCGAGTTGTAACCTTGGGGGTGGAGGGATGGACATGGGCCGGCATCTGCACGGGTCGCTTGCCTTAGTTTGGGTTTTAACTATTTCATTCCATGTGCATCTCCCCTAATGAAGAGGGGCCCCGGTCTGTGCTTGGTCGTTGTGGATTTAGATTTGGGTAGAGTTGGTGCTGTTGTAAAATGAGGCGTGAACAGGAGCAGGCACCATGTCGTGCACCCCCTATATGCCCAGTACTTGTTCAGGGCGGGGGTAGGGGGACACACAGGAAGCTTCTGAGTGTTGGAAAAAGGTCTTCATGATAAAACATTCCTAATCGAAAAATGCCGCGGGGACAGGGCCATAAACCCACCTTGGTATCTGGTGTAGAGGTGGTGTAGACAGACTCGGTTTTCCCATGTAGCCCTTCGCCACGTGTGCGATTCGCCCTTGTCTGCAACTCGGTGAAACCCCCTCCTACTTGGTCTTCCCTGCTGAGTTGAACCTGAGCCTTGCTTTTCCCCAGCTGGGTCCCAGACACCCTGGATGGCTCCTGGCCAGTGCAAGGCTTTCCCCAGGGACACTTTCAAACAAGGGGTTCAAGAGCCGTGGATTACAGGCTGGATGTTGATTTTTTTTTTTCCTCTTGATAATTCAGTAGGGGAGCTTTTGCGGTTGAAAACAAATATGTGCAGTGTATGGTGATGGGAGGATGGGAAAGTGAGACCCGTGTGCTGGGAAGCGCATGTAATAATAGCGGTTCCTGTGTTGTTCAGACACTACAGGTAGAGCATATAATCTAACTTGGAAGTCAACGAATTTCAAGACAATTCTGGAGTGGGAACCCAAATCCATCGATCATGTCTACACAGTTCAGATAAGGTAAGCCATGTACCAAAAAAGAGATTTGAAGGTTTACGGTGTTTCTACTCTCCTGTGCTGAATACAGATATCTTTAACACTGATTATTGGGTAAGATCATTAAGAGATGAGAAAGCAGGGCCGGCGCCGTGGCTCACTTGGCTAATCCTCCACCTGCAGCGCCAGCATCCCATATGGGCACTGGGTTCTAGTCCCGGTTGCTCCTCTTCCAGTCCAGCTCTCTGTTGTGGCCTGGAAAAGCAGTGGAGGATGGCCCAAGAGCTTGGGAGACCAGGAAGAAGCACCTGGCTCCTGGCTTTGGATCGGAGTAGCTCCGGCTGTGGTGGCCATTTGGGGGTGAACCAATGGAAGGAAGACCTTTCTCTCTGTCTCCCTCTCTCTCACTGTCTAACTCTGTCAAAGAAATTAAAAAAGAGAGAGAGAGAGAGAGATGAGAAAGCAAAGGGCCGATGTGGAGGTCTGCTGGCCAGCATCTCACTTTACCAAGCCTGCAGCATTTTCGGACCTGAAACTGATATATAACATTTCAATTTTTTGGTTTTGCTAAATGATTGGAAAATTTGTGGGTTGGGTACAAGCTGAGGGAGGTGAGCCTAATCTTGAGTAGGCCTGGGGGGGTGTGGTGCTGCACCTCAGGGTCAGTGACTATGAAGCTGCAACACAGGTGCCTCTTACCTTTGTTAGCCATCTAGACTGAGAACTGCATCTAAGGAAAGAGGTGGGGAGGAATTCCAGCGCATACATTGCCCTGCAGCGCTGTTTGATTCATGCATCCTTGGGCTATGTGAATCAAAATTCGGTTGCATACATGAGCTTGGAGGAGACCAAATTCCTGACTCACGGAGCCGGGTAGAAATGGTTGCAGAAGTAATTGCCTTGTGCGCACAGGGCCCCTGGGGGCTCCACATCTCCGACTGACAGCTCTTTCCCTCTCCCCTCGCTGGTGAGCAGTATACTCAGCCTCAGTGTGCAGGGTGCGCCACACGTTTTCCTTGGTGGTTTTCACCATCTGCTTGGCAAGCTTTTGGTCTCTGAAATATCCTAGGAGGCTTGGTAGCGAGCTTACAAAATAGAGGAGAAATGATTTGCACGCTCGTTGTGTGAAGACACGAAGGTATTGCTGGCAGAAAATGAAATGTGTCTTGCTGCTTTAGCTTGTGCCAAACCTTTTACAGAATTAAGAGTGCAACTCGTGGGTTCGGAGTGGGCTATTATTAGGTGGATGTTCTTGTTTTTCAAGATGAACTCCAGGACAACTCTTGCCAAACCAACAGGGAAGAGAATTTGTGTGTACATGCATACATGGATAGATAGATAGACACACAGAGAAGGTAATTTCATAACCTGTGATAACAATTATGATTATGATCAGACTGGTCAATTCAGATTCCACTAGTTGAGAATTGGGAATTAATTTCTCTGTTACACATCTAAAGTTTACCTCTGTAAGCACCTTCCTTCTGAACAGTGAAACTTAGATCTGGGAACCAATGGGTACCTCCTAAATACAGTCAAGTTGTGTGGTTTCAGCGACATGTGGAAATGTAGTTAGGATTGATCTGATTGAAACATAAACCAAGCTCTTAGGCTGCTGGAGGCTACTGTGATTGAGCCGACAGGCTGCAAACATCAGAGCTCAAGGCACGGTGTGGGGTGCTCCTACCCTCCGGGGCCAGTGCCCCATGCTCTGGCTGCTGAGCCGGAGGACGTGGGAGCCTGCCCATCAGCCTACCTCTGAGACCCACGCCTTCCTCCTGTTCTGCCTGGGAAAACCAGATTCCTGGGTTAAAGGGAGTACAGCAGTCACCCTGTAGATAAGGGAAGTGCTGCTTGGGGATGGGAGAGATTTGTTCGTGATCGCCCTCAGGGTGATGCCCTGGCCAGGATCCTGCACCAGCACCTTCTCGGACTGCTCTGCCAGAGCCCGCATGAGGCTCGGAACTGGGAGGAGGACGGAGGAAGCCTTGTGTGGCGTCTCCTCCGGGGGCTCCCTTCCTGCCTGTTTTCCTTGCCTAGAAGAAGTGTCTTGGCTCACGGAGCGGAGCTCATCTTGGACATCCTTTTCCACGCCCGCTGCCCTCGCTACTGACTGGGGCCCCACCTGCACCTTCCCCTTGGGACACAGTTTTCGGTGGTGGTTGGGAGGTGTCGCTGCCCTGAGCCTTAGCACCAAGCCATCAGCTGTAATACTGGGTGCACAGGAATGTTCCGAATTCTCAAGCTGATTGTACACCCCCTACAAAATTGCCCCTGCTTACGTGATCATACTACTTACAGTGATCGAGGCCCTGGTTCCAAATTTTGGCATGAGCACGTGGTCCCAGCTTGGAGCTGGGCAGAACCAAATGCACACCCTCTCGTGGTGTGCACCAGAGAACCCGGGGGAGTCTGATGGGCTTGTTCGCCATAGCCATGGAAAGAGGCAACATGTTCTCATTTACTTGTGGAAACTGATATGCTGAAAATGCATTTTGGTCATTCGGGAGAAAAATAGCCTCTCTTCTTTTATTGCCACAAAATGAAAGAAATACAAGAAACAGAGATATTTCAACACCAATCTTGGTTTGCGAATTTGCCCGATTCTTGTAGCCGGGTTGTTTGGTTCTGATGCTTACAGAATACACAGTTTTGGCTCCTGTACAGGGTCTAGACAGTGACTTGCTTTCCTGCATGGTGTATGCCAACCTCCCAAGGAAGACAGTTCTTAGGCTGCTTAGCGGCGTAGCCCAAGAGCAAGGGCGCCTGCTACAAAGCAGACAGGGTTCCCGTGTAGCACTTGGGTGGAGCACGGTGCTGGGGAAGGAGAAAAGCAGAGCTCAGCGCCCAGCAGGGCGATCCGGAGATTGGAGCCTGGCCTTGATCTCCAGGTGGGGCTCTTGCAGGATGCTGCCCAGGGCAGGGCAGCGTGGCCCCAAATCCGTGGGACAGAAGTTGCTGATCCACTTTGTGGCGACACTTAACCTGTGGTTGAAGAATTTCACTTTCTGTAGTTCTTTAAACAATTTCCTCTTCAGTGTTGTCTTAGAAAGCAAAAATCTCCCTTTTAGCCTTTTAGCCTCAGATAGATACTCCCTGTATGGATTCTGTAATCCTTGATGATATGTATTCCCATCTTGCAGAAGTAGGGCGCCATGGCACATACGTGCCTAACACACCCGACTCGGCCGCCTACTAGCTCTGTGCCTTTGGACAGATTCCAAGGTTCAGTGTACCTGTGTGGAAATACAATCCAGCTGCTCCTTGCAAGGATTTACCAATAGAGTAACCATGTGTGAAGTGTCCAGTACAGCAAATGGCAGATAACTCCACCAACAATGGTCACATTAGTATGTAGTAGAATATACGAGGTACTTCAGAAGGTTTGTGGGAAATGGAATTAAACCGTGTTTATTTTGGTGCAAAAAAAAATTTGAAGTCCATGCATAGGTTTTTCATAATGTGTTTTCCATGAAGTTTTGAGGATGCCTTGTTTTATTATATAGACTGTATTACTGTAAAGACTAAATATTGAGTATAATGTAATAGAGTAAACGGAGTGCAACATGATGTCCTAAGTGGAATATAATAAACAGCTGGGGCTGGATGGGAAGCTGCTCTGTCTCCGGTGAAACCCTGACGAAGTGTCTCCATTTGAAGAAAGATATTGGACAGAACAGTCAAGAATGCGGACTTGGGAGTCAGATGACTGGGTCAAAGTCCGGCTGGTTGCTGTTCTGAGTCACCCAGTCTCACCCTGTCTCAGTTGCTTGTCTGTACAAATGGGGGTGATGACAGAGCCGGGCCCGTGAGGACTCCTGCACGCCCTGCCCCGGGAGCGCCGCGCGGCGGGTCAGCACAGGACGCCGCTGCGGCAAAGCCCGCTCGCTGCCTGCGTGAGAGCCCTCACGTTGCGTTTCTTCCTCTTCTTCCCTCCTTCCGTTAGCACTAGGCTAGAAAACTGGAAGAGCAAATGTTTCTTAACCGCGGAGACGGAGTGCGACCTCACCGATGAGGTCGTGAAGGACGTGGGGCAGACGTACATGGCGCGGGTCCTCTCCTACCCGGCAAGGAACGGAAACACCACGGGGTTCCCCGAGGAGCCTCCCTTTAGAAACTCCCCGGAGTTCACGCCGTACCTGGACAGTAAGTAGCTCCGCGCACCCTCGCTACTTAAAGATTGTCCTGCCAAGTGCCCCATAGGGACCTTTAGACAAAAATAGTTGTCCATGAGCCACCTCTGTCCCAGAAACTGCTAGTCCCACAGCGCTCCTCGCTCAGGCCAGATGTGCTGGAAGCTTCCATGTCCTCAAATAGCTCCTCCACTGTTCTCCCCAGGCCCTGCCAGTGACTGGCTGGTGGGGGTGGGGAGGTGGGGAGGGGGCCACAGGCAGTTTCACCTTTTCCATATGTGGATCTTCTGGAGGACTTTTCTCCGCTGATCCCAGATCCCTCTGAGCCTGCGATTGGTCTCGCTGTCCTTTTCCAATCAGCTGGCCTCGGGTTGAGTTCTGGGATGTGCCAGTGCCTGCCCAGGGCACTCAGCCTGTCCCCCTCCTGCTAAGAACGCGGATGGACTGCCTTCCTCCCCAGCCTTTGAGGAGCTGAGGCGGGAATGCGAAGAATTCCTGCCAGGTCTGAGAGACATTTCTGGGTTCCCTCTGGGTCTGAACCAGGCATTTTTGAGTCAACATGTAGCACATCAAGGGAAGTGACCTGAGCCTCTCTCCTGGGCCTGCTGTGAGACTCCATGTGCCCTGTCCCGGCTGCCTCTGGTTTTACCCGGCCCACAGGCAGTGAGCCAACACAGGCTCTGGTCCCGGGGGCTGTGAGCAGCAGGCAGGGCCATCGGCCCGCCCTTCCCTCCTTGCACCTCCTGTGAGGGCCAGAGCCCCCGCTGGCGAGCCCCAGCCCCAGACTCATCTGGTGCTTTCACTGGCGAGTCTCCGGCAGCCCTGGGCTGCGGTGTGGACGCCCCACGGCAGCTCCTCTCCTCCGTGGGGTTGCTCACGTTCATCCTCATGCCGTCCTCAGGATCTCTTTTTCTAATCTCTGAGTTTTTTGTAACATACTTCAAGTCCACCGTGAGTGCAAGGCAGAAGCACATTGTGTATTTTGCTTGTACAGAGAGAGAGAGAGAGAGAGATGGATGGAGAGATGGAGAGAAAGGTCTTCTGTCCCCAAATGGCTGCAACAGATGGAGCTGAACAAATTCAGAGCCAGGAGCTTCTTCTGGGTCTCCCACGTGGGTGCAGGGGCCCAAACTCTTGGGCCATCTTCCACTGCTCTCCCAGGCCATAGCAGGGAGCTGGATTGGAAGTGAGCAGCCGGGACACAAACCGGTACCCATATGGGATGCCAGTACTGCAGGCAGAGGTTTAGCCTGCTATGCCACAGCAGCAGCCCCGAGTTAAATAAAATATTGCAATTAATTTCATCTCTCACTTTTTCTAATGTGACTATAAGGAAATTTAAAAACTACATCCGTGGCTCCCATTAAACCCTCATGGCACAGCTTGGCTACAGAATGTCTTAGGATTCACCTCGGGGTCCAGCCGGCCCACTGCTGCCGGGGCATGCACTCTGCGCAGGTGCTCTGTATGAGCGGTGGCTGGCTTGTTAACTCCATGAGCTTCTCCTGTGTTTCAGCAAACCTCGGCCAGCCAACAATTCAGAGCTTTGAACAAGTTGGGACAAAACTGAATGTGACAGTCCAGGATGCACGCACGCTGGTCAGAAGGAATGGGACATTCCTAAGTCTCCGGGCTGTGTTTGGCAAGGACTTGAATTACACGCTTTATTACTGGAGAGCTTCGAGCACAGGAAAGGTGAGGGTCTCGTCCTTTGTTCTAGGACCTGTTGGACATTGTGGGTCCTTGATTTTCAGCCCCTGTTGTCTCCAGTATACGGGAACGGAGTGGTGGCGTGGGAGGGGCACCTGCTGGGAGGCAGCTGGGAAACAGGTGTGGGTTCTCCTGGGCACTGCCTTGCTGGACACCAAGGTTCCTCAGCGAGTGGGGTACAGCGGACAACCTGCAAGCGCCCGTCCACCCTCACGCCTCTCCTGATTTGGTTTCTGGCCAATGACTGGTATTTGCTTCCTTTCTCCTTTCACGGTAGATATCTTCTACAGGGGCTCAGTTGGGCTGGATGTGCCTCAACAGAGTCTTTTTCAGACTTGGGAGAGGCATCCTTCGCAGCTCCCAGAAACTGATTAGCTGCGTGACCTCTGACCCCACACGGGTGAGAAGTGTCCATGCAGGCTCCGCGCAGAGCCTTTACTGCCACAGTGACTTACTCTGAGCCCAGATGAACTCAGAACTCCGTATCTGTTCACAGAAAACAGCCACGACAAACACTAATGAGTTTTTGATCGACGTGGATAAAGGAGAAAACTACTGTTTCAGTGTCCAAGCAGTGATTCCCTCTCGGAAAAGGAAGCAGAGGAGCCCCGAGAGCCTCACGGAGTGCACCAGCCGCGAGCAGGGCAGGGCCAGGGGTGAGTCTCTCCTGCCGTCCTCCTGGGGGCCCGGGCGCCCCCGCTGCACAGCCAGCTTTTCTTTCTTTGGCTCAGTGTTCCTGACACTGCCTTGGATTTTTTTTGCTTTTTGGTTTTAGAACCTTTTCTGTGCTGTTCGTTTATGGTAGCAAGCATTTTCGTGTTCACCTGCCACGTGCTAAACTCTCCGTGGAGCACTGGGTGCCCTAAGCGTGCTCCGGCTTTGGCATCCAGCCATCTCCTCATGTGACATTCTGACGTTGGGAGGGGCGCTGGCTTCTGAACCAGCCTCAGTCGCACCTGATAGATATTGCAAGCATGCACTGGGGGGGGTATTATCACCGGGGCTGTGAAGTCCTGCCCAGCAAATGAAGGGATGGAGGATGTCATATGGACCCCGTGCATGTACGTCCAGGTGGCCCACCCCTGGGCATACACACCTGTGCACATCCTGGGGGCTCAGAAACTGGTGAAGAATGGTTGTTAGGTAGATGTGCTGTGGGCGTTCAGACAGGTGCGTGCGGTTGACAGCCTGTTAGTCTCCCCTGAAGCTCTCCATGGAAGATGCTCTGAGCACTTTTCACGGAGCAAAATAGAGAGCAGTGTCATGACTTGGCTTCTTGCTAAGATAGATTTCCCACCTGCTTATTGCCCTCAATGGAAAGTGACGCTTGCTCTGCCTGTGGCCCTGCGAACCCCGGGGCAGCCTGCCCACAGCCTTTAATTCCTCCTCCTGGAGCCCAGCTCCGATTCTGCTGCCTCTGCCTCCCACTATAATCTGTCCTTGGAGATGCATCCCAGAGGTCACCTCCACCATGCAGCCTGCTTGCTGCTCCAGCCAGTTATCAGTGTCTCCTCCCTCCCCTGGATCCGGGGAGCACTCTGGATCTCCCTCCAGGCACTTGCAGCTCACCTCCTGCCAGGATCCTTACTCCCAAACTCGGCACCACGTTCTCCAGCAGCCATTCTTGCTTAACTTCCGACCGGCAGCAGCATTCAGTGAAATGCTGTTAGCCAGCGTCCGTTGCTCTAAATCTTCTAGGGGTTGACAGATTCTTCCCTAACATAAGTGTGATGGAAAGAGTAGGAGATATTTCAAAGGCGGGATGGTGGACTTTGCAGCTGAGCCCTCCATTCTGCCCAGTGATGGGTGGGACCCAAGCCCTCCAGGTTGACTGGTGCCTTTTATTTTTCAGAGATGTTCTTCATCATTGGAGCAGTGGTGGTCGTGGCCCTCTTGATCATCGTCCTGTCTGTGACCGTGTACAAGTGCAGAAAGGCGAGGGCGGGGCCCAGCGGGAAGGAGAGCTCCCCCCTGAACATCGCCTGAAGGGAGCGCCGCGGGGCGTGCCGGCTGCTGCCAATGCTGTGTTGCACTGTGACCAGGAGAACAGGAGATAGGGGGATGCAAATGAGAATTTGGGAGCATAAAGACCCATGGATTCAAAAAAGCTCTTCCCGTGACCTGCTATTGTAAGCAGCACGGTGGCTCAGACATCAGCACGGTCACTCGGGAGTGGAATGAGCGGTACAGCCAATCCCAGCTTGTTTCCGTGACTGTAACACTACGGTGCCTTTTGCACGTCTCCTGCCTGCTGTGGTGCGGGCCGCGCCAGGTGTGGTGCACCTGCTGTGGTGCAAAGCCAGGGCAGCCGAGAACAAGCCAAGAACAGGGCCTTAAAGTAGCCTGGGTGGGCTTTGGGAGAACTCTTGAAAAGCTGACTTCAGGTGATGTGGGAACGAGAAATGGCAATCGGGGCCTATTTTCTGGGGTTTTTCTGAACTCTGTCATCTCGTGTGTTGGTGTTGGTGTTTTTTCTTTTCTTGGTGGAGTATTTCGAGAATTCAAGACAACTGGCAAACTTTTATATCCATGTGTGGAGTACAGGAGACTTTTATTTTGGGCATCTTCCCAAAGTATACATTACAGTTTAGCACTTTAACTGACATAGTAATGTTGAATTAAACATTCGACAGCTAACTATATTTTTTATAAGACTGCTACATAAACTACCTAGAGTTTATGATTTAAGGTACTTAAAACTTCTATGGCCAATATTGTATGTATTTATGTAATTTTTAAAAAAGGTTTGTATATGGGAATATTCTATTTATATAGATTCTGTTTATATATAGAGATAATTTATTTAATATACTTTTATATAAATAAAGGTGATGGAATTCTGACTATTGTCTTCCATTTAATATTTGTGATTCATTTTTTGCTCTGGTCAAATCTGCCGCAGTCACAGTTGACCCTAAAAATCTCAGTGACCTGTAACAGCAGATCTTTCTTTTCTATTCACATTACACCTCAGTGACTGTAGGTGGGCTACTGCGCCTGTCAATGCCTTCTCCTTGCAGGACCAAAATTCCAAGAAGCAGAAACCTGGGCGAAACGGGCAGCCCCAGCCTCATGTTTGAGGCTACCTCCCAAAGCTGCTGCTGCATCCCAGCTGTTACCACTACTGCTCCTGTGCACGGGGAGGTTGTGGGACCACACCCAACAACCCTCTGCCCACTGGGAGGCGCCACAGTCCCATGGGGATGCCCGTGGCTGGAGACTTACAAGAAGGGAGAAAGGAAGGCAAGCTACTGCAGACTTAAGAGGAAGAGATTTCTTCCCGTGAGCTGAAGTTTGAGCTGTGGCTGAAGATTGCAAAGGAGAAAACAAAACAAAAAAATTCTTATAGTAGAAAGTAGCTAAAAGGACAATATAAGATAGAGACCAGTGGAATGAGGTGCCTGGGTTGAGCGCTCTCTGCAGGTAGGGGCGGGGTCTAGTTCACAGATTACAGTCCCCTTCCGGAGGCTGTGCACAGCTGAGTGCAGCCACAGCCGAGTTGAGTTTAGAAATAGAGACATGGGGTCGGCGCTGTGGCACAGTGTGTGAAGCCGCTACCTGCAGTGCCGGCATCCCATCTGGGAGCCGGTTTGAGTCCCAGCTGCTCCACTTCCAATCCAGCTCTCTGCTATGGCCTGGGAAAGCAGTAGAAGATGACCCAAGTCCTTGGGCCCCTGCACCTGTGTGGGAGACCCAGAAGAAGCTCCTGGCTTCAAATTGGCACAGCTCCAGCCTTTGCGGCCATCTGAGGAGTGAGCCAGTGGATGGAAGACCCCTCTCTCTCTCTCCCTCCCTCTGCTTCTCTGTAACTTTGCTTTTCAAATAAATAAATCTGCTTTTAAAAAATACAGAAACATGGGGCCGGCGCTGTGGTGTAGTGTGCAAAGCTAATACCTGCAGTGCCGGCATCCCATATGAGTGCTGGTTCGCGTCCCGGCTCCTCCACTTCCGATCCAGCTCTCTGCTATGGCCTGGGAAAGCAGTGGAGGATGGCCCAAGGCCTTGCATTGCTGCACCCGCATGGGAGACTCTGAAGAAGCTCCTGGCTCCCGGCTTCAGATCAGCGCAGCTCCAGCCTTTGAAGCCATTTGGGGAGTAAACCAGAGGATGGAAGAGCTCTCTCTCTCTCTCCTGCCTCTCCTTCTCTCTCTAACTCTGCCTTTCAAATAAATAAATATTTTAAAAGTATATATATAGAAACAGGCCTGCAGTCACACACAGAGCAGCAGTTCCACCAGTTGAAAGAGGATTTTAACTAGAGATGAAGATGAGGTTCTTGACACCCAGCGGGGCCACCAAACCACTTTTGCTTCTTGCTGTGGAAGGCTGGGCTGCTGCCACCCTGGAAAAAACATCTGAATGGCACCCTGCGAAGTCCTCTTCCAGAGGAGAGAGACCCCCTCACCATCCAGCTCTTCCCGGTGTTGCTCCTTTGCGCCGAAGGCCGCTGAGCGCTGTCACTGAAACCCTACACGTGACCATCACAGCCTAAGGAAGAGTGAGCAGAACAAACCTGGCAAGTGCCAGGAAAATGCTAGCCTGAAAGGAAAAAAAGGTGGTGGGCGTTTAGAAGCCGGGAAGGGAAGCGGCCGGCGGTGAGCACGCACGGTTGGCTCCGCCTGCGCACGCGCCCCCTGCGCCCGGGTCTCTGCACTGGCTGACTCTGCACCGCTGGGGCCTTTTGTTGCTCTGCATGTGCGGCAGAACCATCGAGAAAGACAGGAGCAGGCACGGGGTCACGGCCTCAGAGAAGGGAGCCTCAGGCGTTATCTTAATTCCTGCTCACGTGGGGCTCCCCGGGACACAGCGCTCAGCGCCCTCCACGTGGGGCCGAGCAGCCCCGGCACAGGGTGTCTGTGTGACTGGCACTGCCCCGCCAGGAATATTTACAGCGTGAGGTCATCTTGTGGCCTCATAATCTAAGGAATTTGAATAATCCCCCTAAGGAAAATACTGGCAGACGGAAAGCAGGTCTGGCTACTAAGGAGGCATCTGGCCGTGCACGGGGAAGGAATTCATTAGGAACCGGAATGAGGCCGGCCTGCAAGGATTAGGGAACGCTCTGCACCTCGGGCCCCGCCAGCTTTGCAGGGCTCCCCTAAGCAGCTGCTGCTGAAATCCACACCTTAGCAGAGCAGGCCCCCAGGGAAACTATGCCGTGCGTTCTTGGCTGGGATCCAGACACCACTGCCCTCCAGTGGGCCAAATAGGACTCCTTACCTGGCCGCCAGGTACCCCGTAAAGCCGAGCGCTGGTCAGTAACCCAGGTGTCGACTTCATCGGGCAGGTCTTCAAAAAGCTGATGGAAAATGAACATTATTATGCAAAAGCTGCATGGATGTCAGATTTTTGCACCGAATTAAACCTACGTTTTCATTCCATTTTCCATGCACTTTTGGAAGTACCATGCAGTTTGAAGGCATGTTAGCTCAGTTACAGCAGAAGGCTGATAGCCTGTCTCTAATGTAAACAGCCCCCCCCCCCCCGGTCCAATAGTAAATAAACCAGTCCCCGATGTGTTTACCTATTCCAGGACATGTGCATTTATGGTGTGTGACTTGAACCCCACACTTGCCGGGGAAGGTTTATTGCTGTTATAAAACCATGTGACTTTCTTCATTCAGGCACTCACAGTGGGCGTTCCCTCCTTCCCCTGGCCAGGTGATGCTGGCTTTGCCAATCAGCACATTACTTCCTCACAGCTATGGAAATAAGCTTGGGGGTAGGCACAGGACCCAGCTGCCTCCAAGGAGAAGAAATCTCAGGGCTTTCTCTGGACTGCTGGGGATGCTCCCTTCCTTGATTAACATAATATCCAAAACAAACTTGCAGTCCCAGGAGCTGCTGGGGGCCATCTTGAGACCACAAAGGGAGCCAGCCATCAATGGAGCCAACATATTGGAGAGCAGCACCCCGTGATAGAAGGAAACCTCTGGTGACAGTGTCAAGCTGCTAGATTAAGCCCTGCCTGAAGCCCCTGCCTGTGGTCTTTTCTCTGGGCATTATCCAACTTACTGTTTAAGCAAGCTTGAGTCAACTATTTGTTCCTTGCAGTTAAAAGCACCCTAACTGGTGCTGTATAAGCATTGACAACAGAGCATAAAGGAAGAAGGTACTTGCGATGTAAACTCACAGTGCAAAATCCCATTCATCTTCACGCCTTTTAACTGAGGACTTTGTCCCTAAAATTACTCCCTCTTTCCAGCACCATCAGTTTCTCCCTTATTATTTGCTCATTCCTACCAGAACATAAGCATACCGTTTTATTTTCTATCTTAAAAAAAAAACCTTCCTTTGCACAGGAGCGAGACTCCTGCTTTCCTACTCACTTTCTACTCCTGGACACCACCCCCTTCTTTCCAACTTCTGAATGTCAGAGTCCCTCCGTCCCCACACCCATTGTCAGCACTCTCCCTAGGCAACAAGCCTGCGCCCTGGCTCCATCAGCCAGCTCGCTCACGCTGTTCCCACAGCCCTCCGGGCCCGATGGCTCCCCCACCCACTTTGCTAAGCTCCAGAGCTGCAGGTGCCTCAACCTGAAAATGTCCAAAGAAACCTTTCATTTCTCCAAGCTCCCACATCAGCTTCTTCTCCATCTTTCTTATTTCAAGAAGCAACATCCGGGACTTCTCTTCTTCTGCCTTGCCACATTCAATGCCTAGGCCAACACTGCCACAGTAGGCCCCCTGCACTCTCTCTTTTTTTTTTTTTCATGGTAATTAGATTCTTTTAAAAACATAGGTTCTGTTCTTATAGGTCTTGCTTTCAGCTGTCCAGCAGGCGGTTCTATGGGAGGAGGGGAAGTTGGCTAATCTGCAAGCCTGGTTCCCAGAATCTCTTCCCCTTCCCCACATGGCGACTTGAGGCGAGAGTTAACCCACGGAGAAGTCTGCTCAACATCTGGACAGAAGTGAGGCCACCGTGTGGCCAGAGGCAGAGGACAAAGGCTGAGGAAAATACAGAGGCAGAGAGAGCACTCCCATCTGCTGTAGCTCCCCGAATGCCTGTGGGAGCCAGAAGCCAGGAGCTGGGATTTCACTGCTCCTACTCCCCCACCACCACCACCAAGTTTTAAGAGGACCTGTTCCTGACATGCGTCTCTCTTGTCTCACTTTCTATGTCTCTCCATCTCCTCTCTCCTCTCTCTCTCTCTTACACTCGCCTTCTCTTTTTCCTTCTTCGCCCTTTCCCTCCAGTCTGTCAGGTTTCCCCCAATAAACCCTTTCCCTTACTCCGGTGTTTGATGTGTTTTGTGGCGGCCTCACAACTCCACTTGGCTCCTGGGCACTTGTTTGCCTACGTTTTTGTTTCTTCCCATCCTTGAACATCTAAGCCACTCTATTTCCATTTATTTATTTAAATATTTTATTTATTTGAGAGGCAGAGTTACAGAGAGAGGTAGAGACAGAGAGAGAGGTCTTCCATCTGCTGGTTCGCTCCCCAGATGGCCACAACGGCTGGAGCTGGGCTGATCCGAAGCCAGGATCTTCTTCCAGGTCTCCCACCTGGGTGCAGGGGCCCAAGGACTTGGGCCATCCCCCACTGCTTGCCCAGGCCACAGCAGAGAGCTGGATCGCAAGTGGAGCAGCCGGGACTCCAACTAGTGACCATATGGGATGCTTACACCACAGCACTGGCCCCTTCTATTTCCTTTTAAAGGGCAGCGACCCGCCTGGTGGCAAAGATGAAAACCCAGGTGTGTGTGTGACTCCCCGCAGAAGCTTTGCCCCTTTTCCTGGATGCTCCCTGGCCAGGGCTCTGTTCCCAGGGTAACTGAATCCCCTGGTTCCCTAGGCACAGTGCCTAGACCGGCAGCACCGGTGTCACCCAAGA